GAAAATCGGTAGGAATTTCCCAAAAAAAAGGAAGCTGGAAATGACTTATGGATGTCGAATTCTACAAGAAAATGTCTAGCTAAATCTCGAAAATGGTTGAAAATGTCGAAAGTGTCAAATTCAGTCATATCTTAATAAATACTAGCCCCGCCCACCCGCCCTTTGTTTTCTTGGAAAATAAGCCCTTTGCCAAAAACAGTCTTATCTTAGCAAGTACTATCCCCCCCCCCCAGTGCCTTCTATTTTCTTGGAGGGTATGTCATTTGCTAAAATCAGTTTTATCTTAGGAACTACTCGTACTAATCTCTCCCACCCCCACTTTTCTCATTCTAACAACTAATTGTATTTTCGTTCAATATAAGATCATTCATTTCATTTAGATTGGATAAAATTAATCACTGAAATGAAGGCAGGGTGGGTGGGCGGGGCTAATTATATTTTCCTATGTGCTAATCGTAACTTTTTGTTATACTATATGCTATAAAATTTACTCCTATTTCTTATTTCGTGCACTTGACATGACTCGTGAAATTTTAAAAAAATTGTAAAAATTGCCATATTTCAATAGGAGATACTGGAAAAACGGTAGAAATTTCCGAAAAAAAGGAAGCCGGAATTGACTTCTGGATGTCGAAATTTACAAGAAAATATATAGTATAGCTCAATTTCGAAAATGGTTGAAGAATGGTCCAAAATGCCAAAAGTATTAAAATCAGTCTTATCTTATGAAATGCTAGCCCCGCCCACCCGCCCTTTATTTGCTTGGAAGATATGTCATTTGCCAAAAACAGCCTTATCTAGCAAGTACTAGCCCCACCCACCCGCCTTCTATTTTCTTGGAGGGTATGTCATTTACTAAAATCAGTTTTATCTTAGCAACTACTGGCCCCGCCCCCCCCCCCCCGGGCTGTTCTGATTCTAACGACTAATTGTATTTTGGTTCAATATAAGATCATTCATTTCATTCAGATTGCATAAAATTAATCCCTGAAATGGAGACAGGGTGGGTGGGCGGGGCTAACTGTTTTCTTCTGTGGAGTGGGAGTGGAAACTAATAGAATCTAGGACGTGAAAAAAAGCGCTAATCGTAATTGTTTTGTTATACTATTTGCTATAAAATTTATTTCCTTTTTTGTGCACTTGACACGACTTGAAATTAAAAAAAAATGTAAAATTGCCATATTTCAATTGGAGATTTAAAAAAAACGGTAGAAATTTCTGAAAAAAGGAAGCCGGCAATGACTTCTGGATATCAAAATCTACAAGAAAATGTCTAGCTCAATTTTGAAAATGGTTGAAACTGGTCCAAAATGTCAAAATTGTCAAAATCTGGCATATTCCATAAAATGCTGGCCCCGCCCACCCGACCTCTATTTTGTTAGAGGGTATGTTAGTTGCCAAAATCAGTTTTTTGATAGAAAATACTAGCCCCGCCCACCCGCCCTCTATTTTCTTGGAGGGTATGCCATTAGCCAAAATCAGTTTTTTTTAATTATGTTCTTCTGTCGGGCAGAACTGAAAACTAATAGAATCTAAGAAGTGAAAAAAGTAAAAAAAAAAGCATTTACTGTGACATTTTTCGTATAAAATTTATTTTTTATTTCATGCACATGACCTGACTTGAGCTGTCTGACTTCTCTATTGTCTTAAATAGATTCTAAAAACAATTGTACTTTGAGAAACAAAAATTAATAATAATTGCTCTTTTTAGCTACAAAAATTTCATACCGAGTCGTTTTGATGGAACTGTAAAAACTTCATGTTGTTGACAGAAAACTATAAACATTAAGAAAAAGAAGTCAATGATTAAGCCCCACCCACTCGCCCCGTTCTCCGTTGGGGTGAATTTTTCATTTGTTGTTAGATCGATGGGCGGAGCGTAATTGCAAAATCCATATTTGTCAACAAAAATTTAGCATTTTAAACGTGTTTTAAATATCTTGTTGTGAAAAGAAGACTTCGTATATTAAGAAAAAAGGCAAAACATAAGCTCCGCCCACCCGATCCTTTCTCAATTATGACGTATTTTTTATTCGTTGTGAGCTGAGGGCGGAGCTCAACTGTAAAATTCTTTTCTTTTTTTTTTCGACAAGAAATTATCATTTGAAGCATGTTTAAGTGCCGTGATGTTCAAAGAAAACTATGTATGTCAACAAAAAAGAACCAACGATAAAGCCCTATATTTGGAAAAAAAGCCCCGCCTGCCCACTCCCATTTCAGTTCCGATAATTTTTTTATTCGTCGTCAGACTGGAGGCGGCGCTTATTTACAAGCTCATATTTCTTTGCAAGAAAATACCCAGTGAAACATATTTGAGGTCTGATCGTACTGTTGAAAATGGACTATTTTGGGAAAAAATAGGAAATGAAAATTCTTTTTTTCACAGAAGTACAAGGAGATATCGAATTGGTAGATCTGACAACTCTGGTGACGTTTCACATGGTAATTTCTTCTAAAGAAATAGAGATTTTGCAATTAAGCTCCGCCTACCGGCTCACGACGAATACAAAAATTCATCACAATTGAGATAGGGGCGGGTGGGTGGGGCTTATCCATTCACTTTCTTTTTGTACTGTACATAGTCTTCTTTCAACAGTAAAATACTTAATATATCAAAGAGTGAGTGTATTTGAGATTGGAATGTCTTTCTTCTGGGTGTCGAAAATGTCAAAAGTGAAAAATTGAGCGTCTAGAAAAGTTTTCCAAAAATCGTCAAAAAAATCTAGAATATAAATAAATCTTAGCGTGTTCGTTTGAGAAATGTAATATGTTTATAGTAGCGGATAAAAAATTTCCGGAAAATTTGGATTGAAAGTCGTAAAAATTAGCATATTTCAGTTGGCAATTCTGAAAAAGCGGTAGAAATTTCCGAAGAAACTAAACCAAGAATGACTTCTGGATGTAAAAATCTATAAGAAAATGTCTTTAGCTCATTTTCGAACATTTTCGAAACATGGTGGAAAATGTTATAAGGGAAGAATTGAGCGTTTGCAGTTGTCCAAAAATTTTTAAAAAATTCTCGAATGGCGATTCTAGAAATATGGCGTGATCATGGTGACAAAATAAAAATCTCCGGAAAATTCGGACTGAAAGTGAAATTTTTCGTTATACTATTTGCTATTGGAACCAAGTACAAAAATTGCCATATTTCAATTGAAATTGAAAAAACGATAGGAATTTCAGATGAAACGGAACCGAAAATGAATGTCGAAATCTACAAGAAAATGGCTTTAGCTAAGTTTCGAAATTGGGTGAAAAAAAATGCGCCTTGATCATGACTGATAAGAGGAAGTAGAAAATGATCTGCAAACTATAGAATTGACCTTCTTAGAAGAAGAAACGTTTTTGGTCATCATGGAAAAAAAACTGACGCCAAATTCTACTTAAATATAAGAACTGTTGAATAAATAATCTGAAATGGGTTTCCCAAAAAAAAGTTGAAGGGTTATGGTCCACAGTTAGAGAAGACTGTGACAAAAATCTTAAATCAACGTTTGTACATACATGGTGAGTGATCTAAAACACATATGAGAAATGCTGAAGAGAGGAAAAAGTAAAAGCAGATTTTCAAGACGATCTATGGAAGAATTTTGACATATAGCAGTATGATCGTGATAAGAGAATGTGCAAAGTGGTCTGGAAGCTATAGAATTGACCTCCTCAGAAGAAGAAAGTTTTCGAATTTTTTTGGTCATCATGGAAAGAAAATGACGCCAAATTCTACTCAAATATAACAATTGTTGAGTAAATATTTCTCAAAAACAGGATAGAAGGATATTGCTCCACAGTTAGAGAAGACTGGAACAAAATTTTTTACCGAAGTTTGTACACTGTGGTGATCTAGAAGAAGAGATCTAAAACATGTATGAGAAATTCCAAAAGACGAAAAAGTAAAATCAAATTTTAAAGACGATTTATGAAAAAATTTTGACTGTAGCATCATGACAGTGATAAGAGAGCCCGAAGTGGTCTGCAAACTATAGTAGTAGATAATTTTATCCATTACGTCATTCTTTTCGAAATCTCATTTTTTAAATGAATTTGACTGAGTTCAGTAATTTTTTCTATGAATAGCTAACTATCCTTGGGCTGTTTTTCACTTTGTTTAAAAAAGTCACCATATGACATACATATAGATATTAATTAATAATAAGATATGAAAAACGTAAAATTTAACATCTTATTTGCCACAAATCTAATTTTAATAACTGGGTCCTGTAAACGTAGTTTATCGTTAAAATAATATATAGATAAAACATTGGTAGTAAATTTAATTTCACCGAATTTTTAAAATTTAACTTGTCGAAACTAAAAAACTCAAACTCCTCAAACGATTCCGCTCGAAAAAACGAATTAATAATAAACCCGCACTTTCGCCTAGAGCTTTCCTAAAGCCCCGAATTATTAAAAGCTTTTAAGTTGTGGTTGACAGGACGCAGAAAGACGTCAGACTACTTTAAAATCCCTTGTCAACCCAAAGACGTTATAGATCCGGCCAGACTCAAAGGTGAAGTAACTCTCTAGATAAATTACGATGCAACCGTAAAGATATACCGCCTTACATTATTCAAACTATCGCATAAATATCATGGCACACGAAATATGGCGACTCTGGGACATAAACACAATCATGTCCTACAAGTAAAAGCCCTAAATCAGTTCGAATATATGACACACTGTTTACTACCAGAGCAAACTCTAATTGCCAGTTGTATAATAGTAATGTTTTCTCGTGAGAAACCTCGTGTCATAAATTCCGCACTCGTGGAACTGAATAAATAAGGCTAATGATTCGGAGAGGAAAAGTCGCAAATTACGACTACGCGTAGATGGTATCGTACTAGTTAAAACAAATTATCTGATGCATAAAACACACCAACGTTGATTTACGAGAACGCGACTCGTTGGGAATAGTACAAGGGTCCAGTGCGCTCCTTCATTTTTACACTTATTTACTAATGATATCAAACTTTCATTTTCACGATTTTTTTCATTTTCAGACGTCAAACGGCCGAAGAACGGGAAGCGGAGCGTCAAGCCGCCAACCGCCTCATGCTGAGCCTTCAAGCCGAAGCCTTGACCAAAGGCTACATGAGCGAAGGTCCCCCTCCCACCTCAGGGCCTGGTGATACGGCCCTGAGCGCCCTACAGAACCTGCAGCCTTGGGCTGGTCCCTACAGCGCCCCCCAGCCGGCCCTCGCCGAATCTATGTGTTGAAAAGACATGAACTAAAAAACAAAGTGCAATCGAAAAATTGACGTGTTGTTGGTTGTGGAACGGACCGTACTTCGACTGAACGCGAAAAGTAGTGTGATCTGTAAATGTATAATAATTCATTCCTAGAATTAAAATTGTAGATATGAGTTTAGTGTAAGCACTAGAATTATGATTAAGAAATAAAATGTATGACACATACAGGCGTTTTATTTTGCGTATAGTGTACAAGTTGTGGTCTCGGCCACACTGGAAAAAGATTTGTTGTGGTTGCAGTTTCTGAACAGATTAGAAGAGAGGTAAGTTTAAAACAGAACTTATTTAACATTCCCCTAGACGTTTTTTGTTTCGTTATTCATTCATTCCGAGTTCCTTCATGTAATCTAAGTAGCTAAAGACACTTTAATACGCTTTTTTCCCCGATTTAAGCTACTTTTTAGTGTTGATTACACCTACCAAATAACCATCATAAATCACCTCCTTCCGCGAATTTATTATCGACACGACATCACCACCACAAAATCCACTAATAAAAAGCTTTACATAAGAATAAGAACAAAATAGCGCAACTAAAAACATCGTAAATGGCAATATAATTTCAAAGTCATTTTTCAAGCAGAAATTATAACGATTACCTAACTTCACTTCTATAGATACGTCTATTTGGTTCAAACGAGATTTCATTTGTTTGTCGGTAAAAACCGCCATAAGAAGCAAAATGGTATAATAATTGTCGTCTCGTAATTTTTTGTCACTCGGTACCCGTCTAGCGGAAATGCTAAATTAAGTCTTCACGTATCCTTTCTATTAGCCGGCTATATGTCGGTGTCATCACCTGCGAAAGCGTTTTATGAAGCCACTAATTGAATTACAGCCTAATTGGCAGCACGTAACAACCATCATATGCAAATAAATATCTTAATTATGAGGACGCATCTAAGTCAAGATTGGTCGCATTAATTAAGTACAATTTTCTTCGTCCAATCGAAAGATTCCGTGTCGCTCTCTTATCTCCGAGCAGATTGGTATTTAGTCATTAAACTCACGAACCCACCCGCTGCAGTATAATTTGAGAAATTGCCCAAATTATCCTAAAAACACAACCGTACACAGGTGTAGGCTCCAAAAACAAATTCGATTTAGGACAGGATATAGTCGATTGTCAAAAAAGTCGCACGCAAGCCAAGGACAATAATTTGTGACATAAACTTGTCATTGAGATCGAAATTACAGGGTTGATATTTAATTTTAAAGCACCATACCTTCTGATAATAACAGCAGAGTCGGTCTCGCCTGGTCAAATCTAATGTTCAATTTGCGGTTTGATTTCCTGTCTTTTCGATACGTCCAGGGTCGGTCGTCGCACAGGCACAGTTCTGAGCCAAAAAAGAAAATTACTTGAAGATTTTACGTCCCACTAAATATTTTCTTTTGTTTGATATCCAGAAAGTTGAATCAAATGCATTGATTAGCATATGAGACAAGAAAAACTCTAGGATAGAAAAAAGTAGACCACAACGGAGTTACTCATTGTGACAAATAGTTTCTGAAAAAGTGGCCTTAAAAATATTATTGTTACTAATAATAACATAATATTTTTTGTGATATGTTAAATAATATCAACAAATAACGCGGTTTAACTTTATTTACTTTGTCTTTGCAGAAAAAGGAGGACAAATAAAAAAATATCTAGTAATATAAATATTTATTGAAAACAGTTGGTCATTTTACTCAGTTAACAGCAAATTACTAATCTACATACAGTGAATGAGAATAGAATTGTATTTTTTGATGTAATGTGGGTTGCATGATTTCCTTTATTAAAAGGAAAAAATTCTGAGAATTAATTTCTTAACGCTTCTGTTTTTCTTCATTTTTTTAAAGGTTAAGTTCGTCGTACTATGTACATTCCATATTAAATTTTTGTCTTTACGCTAAAGACGATAGAGTTTACGAAACTTCAGTACATAAGTTTTTTTTATATCAGAACACATCTAATTCCATAGCAATTTATGATCTTTTTTTTTTAAGAAAAATAATTAGATTACATTTTAGATTCTACGTACTGCATAAACTTACAGCTAAAAACAAAATTTCGCTTTTTCGATCTACTGTGAAGAATGAAGATACCAACGGAGCTCAGTGTTAATTTAAAAATCTGAATAAAGTACATATTGCTATAGAACTTGTGAGAAATAAACCAATTAATTTATTTATAAAGAATTAATAAAATTAATAAATTAACGAAATGGATATAATTGTCACATAAAGAGGTGCAAACTGACAAGAGAATCTACAAAAATTTGTGAAAATAGTAATAATTTGAAACCTATTTCAAGAAGAGATATGAATTTTTAAACCTTCTAATCTTAAAGTTGTTAAAAAAATAATTTATTTATTTGTAAACAATTAATAAATTAACGAAACAGATATAATCATCACATAAGGAGGTAGGTGTACACTAACAACAGAATCTACAAAAATTTGTGAAAGCAAATAATGAAAAATTAAAGAAGGAAGAAAATATGTAAAATAAAATAACCTAGAAAGCTCTAATGGAAAAAAAAAAACACATTTTTGGATGAATAAAAAATAGTAATATATATTTTCAAATATATATCAAGAGACATGAATTTTTAAGCCTTTTGACGTCAAATTTGTTAAAAAATAATGTATACATAAACACTAGGAGCTCGAGATTTTTTAAGATATTTCCAAAAATAAAACTCCAGGATTTCCTGACGTGATTAAATCCTTTTAAAATTGAAATACTAAAGATCCATCGAGATTCTTCCAAATTCTTTCAAAAATAAAACACTTGAGGCTCCCAGGATTATTTAAAATTTTTTTAAAAATATTTAAAACACCAAGGGCCTTCGAGATTTTTAAATTCTTAGAAAAATATAATATCAGGAATCCCGAAATTCTTGCAAATTTTTTCAATAATAAAACAGTTGGTGTTTCTGAGAATCTTACATTATCATTTTTTAATTGAAGCATCAAAGACTCCCCCAGATTCTTTAAATTCTAACAAAAATAAAATATTTGACACCCCTGAAATTCTTCAAATCTTTGAAACACAAACAACAAGGGGCTCCGAGATTCTTGTTTTTTTTTTTTTTTTTAATAAAACACCAGGAAATCCGAGGTTCTTGAAGCTGTTTTAGAAAATAAAACACTAATCTTCAATCTTCTCTGAGATTCTTAAATGATTTTAAAATTGAAATACCAAAGATCCCTTGAGATTCTTCAAAATTCTTTCAAAAATAAAACACTTGAGGTCCCTAGAATTCTTTCAAATTTTTTCAAAAATATTTAAAACACAAGGGGCCTTCTAGATTTTTCAATTCTTGGAAAAATAAAATATCTGGAATCCCGAAATTCTTGCAAACTTTTTCAATAATAAAACAATTGGTGCCCCTGGGAATCTTACATTTATTTTTTAATTGAAATATCAAAAATTCCCGGAGATTCTTTAAATTCTAACAAAAATAAAACACTTGGAACCCCTGAGATTCTTCAATTCTTTCATGCATAAAACAAAAAGGAGCTCCGAGATTTTTAAATTAACAAAAAAAAAAACATCAAGAGATCTGAGGTTCTTGAAGCGGTTTCATAAAATAAAACACTAATCTTCTCTGAGATTCTTAAATGATTTTAAAATTGAAATACCAAAGATCCCTTGAGATTCTTCAAAATTCTTTCAAAAATAAAACACTTGAGGTCCCTAGAATTCTTTCAAATCTTTTAAAAAATATTTAAAACACCAAGGGCTTTCGAGATTTTTAAATTCTTAAAAAAATAAAATATCAAGAATCCCGAAATTCTTGCAAACTTTTTCAATAATAAAACAGTTGGTGTCCCTGGGAATCTTACATTTATTTTTTAATTGAAACATCACAGATTCCCAGAGATTCTTTAAATTCTAACAAAAATAAAACACTTGGAACCCCTGAGATTCTTCAATTCTTTCATACATACAACAAAAAGGAGATCCGAGGTTCTTGAAGCTGTTTCAGAAAATAAAACACTAACCTTCTCTGAGATTCTTGAATCTTTTTAAAATTGAAATATCAAAGATCCCTTGAGATTCTTCAAAATTCTTTCCAAAATAAAACACTTGAGGTCCCTAGAATTCTTTCAAATCTTTTAAAAAATATTTAAAACACCAGGGGCTTTCGCGATTTTTAAATTCTTAAAAAAATAAAATATCAAGAATCCCGAAATTCTTGCAAACTTTTTCAGTAATAAAACAGTTGGTATTCCTGAGAATTTTACATTTATTTTTTAATTGAAACGTCACAGATTCCCCGAGATTCTTTAAATTCTAACAAAAATAAAACACTTGGAACCCCTGAGATTCTTAAATTAAAAAAAAAACACCAGAAGATCCGAGGTTCTTAAAACTGTTTTAGAAAATAAAACACTAATCTTCTATGAGATTCTTAAATCTTTTTAAAATTGAAACATCAAAGATCCTTTGAGATTCTTCCAAATTCTTTCAAAAATAAAACACTTGAGGCCCCTGGGATTCTTTCAAATTTTTTCAAAAATATTTAAAACACCAAGGGCCTTCGAGATTTTTAAATTCTTAGGAAAATAAAATATCAAGAATTCCGAAATTCTTGCAAACTTTTTCAATAATAAAACAGTTGGTGTCCCTGGGAATCTTACATTTATTTTTTAATTGAAATATCATAAATTCCCGAAGATTCTTTAAATTCTAACAAAAATAAAACACTTGGAACCCCTGAAATTCTTAAATTCTTTCAAACATAAAACAACGAGGGGCTCCGATATACTTAAATTTTTTAAAAACTAAAACACCAGGAGGTTCGAGGTTCTTTAACTGTTTTAGAAAATAAAACGCTAATTTTCTCTGAGATTCTTAAATCATTTTAAAATTGAAACATCAAAGACCCGTCGAGATTCTTCCAAATTCTTTCAAAAATAAAACATTTGAGGCCTCCGAGATTCTTTAATTTTTTTTCAAAAATATTTAAAACACCAGCTTTGGAGATTGTTAAATTCTTAGAAAAACAAAACACCAGGAGTCCCGAGATTCTTAGAAATTTTTTCCAAAATAAATGAGTTGATGTCCCTGAGAATCTTACACTTTATTTTTTAATTGAAACATCAAAGATTCCCCGAGATTCTTT